GACAGGTCACACATTCGCTCAGGTGTTTGGGAGATCACTCGTATAACAGGGAAATAATTGACCTGACAGGTAGCACAGTCATTCACCATACAAGTAACATATTTAATGGACAGGTATTTTATTTACTCACCACACAGATAACTCTCTCACCTGACAGGTGTCTCATCGCACATGTAACTCTCTAGCTGCATGGGTAATTCATTCATTCACTTTAGTAGTAATCACACACTAGGCAGCTGTTCCCTGACTGCATACACTATGATGAGTGGCAGCTCTCCCATAAACAAGTGAGCCCTCAGATCACCCCATTATCTTCTCCCCAGGCCATGCTGGATTACTCGGATCTAGAGGGCTTCTGGCAGCGCTATAACAAGGTTCTGCTGGACCGGCTGGCCCTGGAGCGTGAGCGGGCGGCCCTGGCAGGGGAGAATGGGCAGCTGCGTGCCCTGCTGAAACAGTACCTGGATGGCATCTCCGTCAGCGACGAGATCCTGCGCCAGCACAACCCGCTGCTCATCGTCAGTCGCCACGGCCCGGTGCCCCCAGCCGCCCCGCCGGTCTCCGAGCCCCGCGTCGCCCGGCCGGCCCACACCGTCATCGAGGCTGCACACATCGTGCAGCGCACCCTGTAGGGCGCAGACAGAGGCGCGTGTGCCCGCCCTCCGCGCAGGCCACTGGTGAGGCCCTGCAAATGTGCCGTTGGATCCAGACAAATGACCGACTTGGCTGTTGGCCTGCTCCTTCAAAATGTCAATCAAGCCATAACGAGTCAAACACTGCTGTTGCCGTCCTCTGCCCAAATTCAGCGAGACGGGTCTGACCCAATCTGCACAAAACACATTAGTTCTGTAGACCTTCCGTACTTAAATCAACAGAGCTGCTAGCTTCAGTGTTTTGAATGCTGCGTATAGCACCCTCGAACGCAACAAACACTTGACAGGAAAACTAAGGGAACGTTTGTTTAGGTATGCAACTGGCTGCTGGTGTTTAATTAATCAATAAAACCCTGTAATCATAAGTAACCAAAACCAGTATCATTGCTGTTTAAGATAATCACATGAAGCGAACATTACTGTAAAAAATGTCTTTTTTGAAGAATGTCTCCACTGTTAGGCACTTTGTTTCTTATTCTAGAAATAAGAATAAGAAACTGTTTATTGAAAGTAAATATTCAGTTGTTCACTTTAATTGTGCAGAATTAACACCTGAATAAGTATGATTCAAACTGAAATGAGATTAATGTTAATTAACAGCTCACTGTCGCCAATGATGCACATTTTGTTGCCGATTTGGAGGCAGAGACAGTGGAGTTGTTGCATTACAGTACAGTTGAAGTCTTGTGACACACCTCTGCTGCAGTGTTGCTCAGGATTCAGGGTGGCCAAACACAAAGAGGGCAGAGGCCAGCTCACAGGGAGATCACTCACCG